TGAACTGATAAGATAAGATAACTGAATAGATAAGACTCCTACTAATCCCTGCTACTGAAAGTAGATAAGGTAAGAATACTGAATAGATAAGATAGGATGAGAACACTAAATTGCTGCTGCTGAGAACACTAAATTACTGCTGCTGCTGCCGGCGCCCACATCAGAGAACTGATCCATATAAGGATAGTACAGTGGCTGAAATCTTCATAGCTATTTACAGACTTCACAGTGGATGATTTATTGAGGAAGTGGGGTGAGATTGCTAGTTGCACCCAGCCCAAAACAGAATTGAGGGTGTCTTGGACCACCCCCCCCCATCGGCCGGTTTTTTAAAACTAAACTTTGATGGGAGTAGTTGGGGGAATCCTGGACAATTGGGGATCGGAGGTGTGTTTAGGGATGAGAATGGGTTTGTTTCAGCCATGTTCTCAGGCCCAATTGGAGTGGGTGACTCTCACAGGGCTGAGATCTTTGCAGTTTTGGAAGGAGTCCAAAGAGCTAAGGAGATGGATATAAGAAAACTCATCATTGAAGGGGACTCGGAAGTGGTGGTAGGGTGTCTGAATAAAGAAAATAACAGGTTATGGATGTACAGTAATGAGAGGAGGAAATTTAGGTGGCTGGTTCAAGAGATGGAAATTAAGACCAGCTGGGTGAAAAGATCAGCTAACTCTTTTGCTGATGGGTTAGCTAAGCAAGGAGTCGAGAGGGAGTTAATGTTTTGGGCATAAGTGTAATTTTTTCCTTTTTTCTGTTCTTGGGAGCTCATGCTCCAGTTGGAAGATAAGAAAGTGTGTCTTCCTCCTTGTAATTACTTTTGTGATTAATTAATGAAATGTGGTTATTGGTAAAAAAAAAGAAGAAATTGGTTGGTGTCCTCTTTTGGCTCTTCTACTTGTGCTTCCTTTTTCAGTTCCCTCCTTTGGTCCCCTAACATGGGAGGATCCTTTCCAACAAAAAGAGTTTGGTGTAACTCTGTACCCCCAAAAATAAGGGCTTTTTTGTTGGGAGGTGGTGCTCCAAGAAATCAACACTTTGGACAAGCTACAAACAAGTCTATATTGCTGCATCTACCCTCATGTCTTTTGTCTTTTCTTAGGCTGTGGTGAGACAATTACACACCTATTATTATCTAGTCCTTTTTGCTTCTTATGTTTGGAGTTAGTTTTCTTCTCTCTTTGGTTTTAGGTGGACCCCTCCTTTGGATGTGGTAGGCTTTTTTGTTCCAAGTTGATTATCAAAGAAAAGGGTAGGGCAACGTGGAGAGCCACGGAAGCAGCTATCCTTTGGTCAATTTGGGAAGAGAAGAATAATAGAATCTTCAAAGGATTAGAGAGATCCAAGGAGCAAGTCATTGATTCCATACTTGTGTAGGTCATGCATTGGCTGAAATCAATTGAGCTATCCAAAGATTATTCAGTTGAGGACATTTTTAGAGGGTGGTCGGTAGTGGCAAGTTCTTCAACTATAAAGAATATGGTTCAGGTTTAATTGTTACCTTCAGCACAACAAAAGGTAAAATTGAATTTTGATAGAAGCTCTTTAGGCAACCCGGGTTCTTCTGGAGTTGGGGGAGATTCATTCAGAGACGGGGAGGGCAGGCTAATAGCACTATACTCTGGCCCAATAGGTGTGGGAGATTCATTAAGAGCTGATATTTTGGCCTTCAAGGTCTGAGGCTGGCCAAGCAATGGGGACTTCAAAATTTTGAGGTGGAGGGAGACTCTAAACTGTTAAAAGGATGGCTGCAGACAAAAAGCTTGGGGGTTTGGAATTTTAGACAGTGAATTAGGGAGATTTTCTGCTTAGCAAGGGAAGCTGGAGTGCTTTTCAACTGGACAAGGAGATCAGCCAATGGTTTGGCTGATGCTTTGGCAAAGCAGGGGACCCTTAGGAAGAATTTGTTTTGGGCAGTATTGTAAACCTTGAGATAAAATATGGGGTCAACACTGTTATTGATTTGATCTGCACCGGTTTCAGTCCTAGAATGTGAGAGAGAGAGAGAGAGAGTATGTTTTAACTGCTGTTTTAATAAAATTACTGTTTCCAATAAAAAAGATTCATGGGATCTTTTAGTCTTTATGGACAAGTTTTAGCAGTTCAATTTTAATTTAAGGCCTTTACCTTTCAATGCAAATTTCACCCATTTTTGGTAGTTCACCTATCCAAAAAGAAGGAAAAAAAAAGCAGAAAAGAGGTGTGATGAGTACCTAACACATATTCTAGTTATTCTGACTCCTGGATCTGGTTATTGAGTCCTAATTCTGTTGTGCTCCTTTTTGTTTCTTTCCATCTGCTGCTACCTTCTCTCATTTACACACACTGTCCTTTTATGAATTGCTGGATTTGCAGATGCGATAACTATTTTGCTTCTTGTGATTTGGAACTTAAATCTCAGGGAAAATACAATGACACAATTAAGGAATGCACTAGAGCATTGGAGTTGAATCCTACATACATGAAAGCTCTAGTTAGAAGAGGAGAGGCACATGAAAAGCTTGAAAACTATGAAGAGGCTATTTCAGGTACATAAGGAAGTTAAAAATATTTATCCATGTATTGATTCCTTATCATATTCAAGATGTTAGCCCTTTTGATCTTTTCCTTGTTATGCATTGTTGTGCCATCTTCCTGCCATTTTCAGCCTTTTTTTTCCAGGGTCTTTGGTGACTTGAATATAAGCTTAATATATTAACATTGGCCAGGAGTCATTATCCTGTAGTTACCATCCAAAATTTTCTTCAACACTCTTTTCCTTTTTGTTTGATTAATATTTATATGCTGGCAATATCTAGGAGTTACTTTCATCTAGCGGTAATCCTCTTTCTCTCTAATTTGTCTCTTTACTGTTTTCCTGCAGACATGAAAAAGATATTGGAATCAGACCCTTCAAACAAACAAGCTATTACAACCATACGTAGGTTGGAGCCACTGGCAGTGGAAAAGCGGGAAAAGATGAAGGAAGAGATGATTGGTATGATCATAGAAACTTCCTTTTCATTCTTCTCATCGTTTTTTATTGTTGAAGGAAATTGTTCTTTTTAACTTTTGGATGGTTGAGGTTTATTTGCTTTTATATGATAAGTAATCAGTTAAAATATGCATCAATATACATAAATGCAGATACCAGTGTGGAGTGTGTATACATCTATTTTATGTCTCTCCATACATGCATGCATGTATATATCTAACTATGGTTATACAGATATACAAACATACATACGTATAAGATGATTGGCTTCTTGAATTGGTATCTTGTTCTTCTATATCCAGGGATTTCCTAATTTATCGACAGATGTCCGGCTTGTTTCGAGGGGGGGGATTGGAAGGGTTTCACTGTGGTTTGGATTTTCTATTGTTTGTGTTTGGCCTTGGTTCTTGATCACCTTGTTCTGATGGTCTTTTGCTTTTCTTTTCCCTCTGTTTTTGATTATCAATAAAGCTATTTCTTACCTATCAATATAGTTGCAGTTAACATATAATACAGATTTGATTTTATGTTCCTTTTGGTTCAACCTTAAATCATATTAAACACATCATTTGCATGCAATTATATCAACCCATGGGTTGATGTAGACTCATAAGTTCTTATTGGATGTACGAGATAGTCTTTATAGCTGTAACACCCGTCTTGTCAAAAAGCTAGGTTCTTGGCATCTAAAGTGAAGATATCATTTAGATGGGTTCTAAAGGGTCATTACCCAATGTTGGTGTTGTCTATCAGGGGTCTTGGGGGGGGGGTGACTGGATACAAACCTAACATTTGGCCTTTTTTTTGGCACAAAAAACAGGTCGTTCACAGGCTTGGACCTACAATCTCATGCCCATCAGCCTATTATGTCTCAATTATAACCGGGTCTTATTTGGTCAGACCTGTTAGTTCCAATTATGATCCTATAGTATCAGGTTCTTATTGCACATTTACTTATTGGGTTGGATCTGGGTCTACCCTGACCGGACCCAACCCATTGACAGCATTACATATGAGGTGATAGATTCCAAGTTCTATGCTTGATGGAACGGGAAAAGACAGGAAGATATTATCAATTTATTTCCAAGGATGCAAAAAACATAGCCCTCCTGAGAGATCCGGCTTCAAATATGTTCATTGTTTTAAAAAGTGGGCCTTTAATGGATCCAATGATGTCTCTGATTGGGTTCAAACATGGTCCAACCCTGTTCTCATTTTATTCAATTTGTACTGACAATGCTGGTTTCTTCATGGAGGTAAAGAGTCGTGCATTTTAAATTAATGAAGGGAATGACATTTCCAGCATTTCCTCTTTCATTAATAGGTACATAACAGAGCACTCTAACATGTTTTTGCAACCAGATTTCTCTCTCCTCTCTCTCTCTCTCTCACACACACACACACAGAGCATCCTGTTGCACATTGGGAATATCTTCCTTACATGTATATTGAGTTCATTTGGAGATGATCCTAATGTGCCTCTGGATGCTCATGCTTTCAGAGTGTGTGCAGAGTTTTTGCTTGCAATTGCAGGTGATCCTGTCGCCACTCGCCACACATGCACAGACAGATGTGTTTCCATGTCCATTCAAAAACAGAAGGCCACCATTGTACCAAACATAAATAGAACCAAAAGAAAAAAAAAATGAAGAATAAGAGCAGAGAGTGAAAACTAAAAAAAAAGGAAAAGGCAAGGGTTTCCAGATAAGACTTGACCATGCTATCAGAACATTGTCATCTCTTCCTTGCAATTTCTAACCTTAGTGTCATTTCCTCTTTATTTCTCTTAAAATCCCAAGTAAAAACCAAGGTTTTAAAAGCTGAAGGCAGAGCTGAGGCAATTTATTTCCTTTTATAGCCGGTTTGCATATTTTCTGTTTATTACATGTATATTTTTTAAAATGAATCCTATCTTTTTGAATGATTATTTGTATTCTGTTTTATGTTTATAACCTTCTCTATCTAAATTAAATAATGTATATATTCATACTAAATCTATTTGCAATATTTTATGCATTTAAGGTGCAGCGCATTTATTTCATAGCTAATGACATATATATTTGTTTTATTTATTTGTCTTATTTTTGAAATTTTATTTTCTTTAGTTTGTTTCATGGTTATAACCTTCTTTACTAAATAAAGTATTAAATGTACTTAATTTGCACATTTACTAGTTTACTCATATTATATACAACAAATGCTTCTTGGAGGAAGAATTATTTTTCCTTGGGGTGGAGGACCACTTTGATTAGGTCTACCTTAGCTAACTTATTTGTTTACTTCCTGTTAGTGTTTAAGATTCCAACCAAAGTCTCAAACATATTGGAAAAATTAATGAGGGACTTCTTGTGGGAGCCAGGAGAGGAGAAGAAGGATCATAGGGTGGGTTGGGAGGTGGTAACTAGAAATAAAAGCCTAGGAGGTCTTGGGATAGGGAATACTAGGAAAAGAAACATGGCCTTGCTAGGAAAGTGGTTGTGGAGATTCCCTTTGGAAAGGGACAAATTGTGGACGAAGATAGTGGCTAGCATTCATGGGCTGGAGGACAATGGTTGGGATCTTGGAATTCTGGCAAGAACTACAACTGCATCTCTGTGGAAAGCCATCCATGATATACTCCTAGCATTCTCTCCTTGGATCAGGTATAGCTTGAACTTAGGTAACCTAATAAAATTTTGGGAACAAACTTGTGTTGGGTATTCCCCTTTGATGGAACAGTTCCTCTCTTTGTTTGCTATGTCAGACCTAAAGAATGAACCTATTTCTTCCTTCTTAGTTCCTTCAGACTCAACTTCAGGCTTTGGGTGGAACCTAGGCCTGAGAAGGGCCATTAGGGATACAGATTTGGACTTCACTTTGACATTGCTAAACATCCTTGATAGTGTTTTCCTATACCCTACTAAGGAAGATATCAGAATTCTCCTCCTTTGGTGCCTTCTCTTGTGCCTCTTTTTTTGAAACCTTAACTTATTTATCCTCCTACTCCTCTTTGGTTACCCTTCCCTGTTAAAGAGGTTTGGAGTAAGCAAATTCCTCCTCAGGTTGGTAGTTTTTGCTGGGAAACTTTATTGGAAAGAATCCACACAAGTGACCTGCTTCAAAGAAAGAGATCTAATTCTTGTTTATCCCCAGATTGGTGTTCTCTTTGCAAGGTTGATGGGGAAACTGGCTACCACCTTATTGTTACTTTCCTGTTTACTAAATCTATTTGGGAGTTGGTTTTCTCCCTTTTTGGGTGTAATTGGAACCCCCCCTTTGAATGTGCAAAGTCTATTTTCTTCGTCCTTTTTCAGTTGGCCTAAGAAAAGAGGGAGGATTACGTGGAGATGCATTAGGGCAGCAATTTGTTGGTCCTTATGGGAAGAAAGGAACTTCGTATATTTTCAAACAAGGAGAGAACAATTGAGAGCTTTACAGATCTGATACACCTTAGGGTGGTTCACTGGCTGAAATCATTGGACTGTTTTACAGACTTTTCCATGATTGACTTGCTGAGAAATTGGAAAGAGATAATAAACTCTGCTCCAGTTAAGATGATTTCTAGCCCCATTTGGACTCCTCCACCCTCTGGATTCATAAAACTGAACTTTGATGGGAGTAGTTTTGGAAATCCAGGGCCGTCTGGGATTGGGGTTGTCTTCAGGAATGAGGAAGGGTCTATTCTGGCCTTGTATTCAGGCCCGACTGGAGAAGGGGACTATCTCAGGGCCAAGATCTCTGCGGTTCTGGAAGGAATCCAAAGAGCAAGACAATTGAACATTAGAAGATTGGTCCTTGAAGGTGATTCGAAGGTGGTGGTTAGATGGCTAAAGGAAGACAACAATACCATGCGGAGCTATAGCAATGAAAGGAATAAGTTCAAATGGTTTTTCTAGGGACTTTGAGGTGAAGTACAGCTGGGTGAAAAGAAATGCCAACTTTTTTGCTGATGGGTTAGCTAAGCAAGGGGTGAATAGGGTGTCTTTGTTTTGGCCTAATTTCTTATTTATCTCTTTTCGTAATTTGTTGATGGGGAGTTAAGCCATTTTGTCTCCCTTATATCTTGTAATTGCTTCCTTTAATTTAATAAAGCTGATTGTTATTGGTCAAAAAAAATGTCTTTATACATTTGTAGATACAGTTACTCTTTCATATTCAATTTATGTATTTACTTTTAGCTTTTATTACATATATTAATTTTAACATAATGTATCGAAACATCAGACAAGTACTGACAGCTGGCTGTACAAAAAGGATAAGAAATGGTAAGACTAGGTAAAATTATTAATACACATTTTTTACATATGAAGAATATTGATACTTTGAAACTTTGGTGCCAAAGTAAAGATAATAACATAGTTTAGTGTCAATGTAAAACTGTTGAAAATGGGATGGTCATTGCTATTATATGCCTCTTTAAGTCTTTATGATGAAACTTGTCCAATGGCTTGCATTTTCTTACTGACACCATTGACCATGGATACAACACTTGCAATCATTAGTTTTAGGGTTTCATTTGTGCATACTCTATGTGGTATATGGTATTTCTGTGCCCTTTAAATGGGTTAGTAATCCTCTTAATGTGATACTGAGCTAACTTGCTGGTGAACAGGGAAGCTAAAAGAGATGGGGAACTCCTTGTTAGGGCGCTTTGGGATGAGCCTTGACAACTTCAAATCTGTTAAAGATCCCAACACTGGATCCTACTCTATCTCATTCCAGCGTTAGTATAACATGTAAAATCATCTTATCACATTGCTTACTCGAGTGAAAAAAGTGAAGAGAAATATCTGGGAGAAATTTTATATTATTTCTTAACTCAAAATTAGTCCTGTACATGGGAGAAATCATCTTATCACATTGTCAGCATGAGTGAAACATTATCTATTGTGAGGCATTATAGCTGTCCTGTTGTCTCTGCCTAGATTCTATCATACTTGTTTCCAGGTTTTATATTTTAAAATATTATTTTTATCAAATAGAACTCAGATGGTTAAATCGAGGGTTGAGCTGCTGGCCCTATACACCAATTCTTGTGAACCCCAGCTTACTGAGGCTAGCACATTCTCTGTTAAAATAGTACTGATTACTATTTGGAGCTGAGAAAGCTTAACCATTAAATTCTAGGTTTCTCCATCTACACCTTTTCTAGTTCACAATGACCTGTAGATTTGAGGGTGGTGCTTCATTTTCTGTTCATTTTGAAGTGAACCAGTCCGACATTCCAAATGAAAGTAGTTTGCATTGCATTTATTTTTATGCCTAATCTATTGAAGTTCTCAGTCAGGATGATGAAAAGAGTTCATCTTTCTTCAGCTGTAAAGCTGCAAATGGATTGGATTGAAACCGATCAAAATCTGAAAAAGTGGTCCGTTTATTAATTGAATTGAATTAGGATATTGTTTCATTCGATCCAAAATCCTAATATACGTATGATTCAAAGTATCGATTTGTATTGGTTTTCAGGGTCATCGAAATGTTAAATACTGAGTTAGAGCCTTTTAATGGGTTTGAGCGTTAATAAACAGCCTAATATATCTATTTGCGAATAGACTAGAAATTAAAGGAGTATCAATTATTGAAAACTCTGGATATGTGATTTTTGTAACTATGTATTAAGCATCAATATTCATTTATATAAATAGAATATTGCTTGATCCGATAATACAGTTATATATACATATAAAACATTTTATCAAAAAAAATATAAAACATTAATTTTAGTATGAAAATTCTTTAGAACTATGATGGATTTAGATATACATATTTTTCCATTTGTATAAATATTTTAATGAAATCGGATGCTTGGATTTAAATAAATCAAATTTGAATCCATATTTTTACATATATGCCAGATATTGGACCGAATTTAGATCTCTTGGTTTTTTACTGGATTGGATTTTAATGACCTTTATCCAAATTAGATCCAATCCATTTGCATCTCTACTCAATTAGCATGGCATCTTATTAACTTGGCACTATTGGATGAGTCCAGATCTCCTGTCCACACAAACTCTGCCCACGTCTACCCACATAACATTGCAGCTACACATGGAGAACATCTCATCCTCCTGTATAGTATTATGTAGGGGGAGATGTTCCTAATTCACGGGGTTAGTATGTTGTGGGTAGATGTGGGCAGAATTCTTGTGGGCAGGAGATCTGAAGTCCTATTGGATAAGCTTTTGATTTTTAGCTTTGGGTTGTGAGAAACAAAAATGAATCAAAAAGTGATTTGAGAGATTGGTAAAAGGGAGTTGGGATCACCTGCCAACAAAATATGTTCTAACACTCCCAAAGTGATCCGATACCGCACAACCAAGAGACTGGGACCTATCATAAAAGTGGAACCCTCCATGTATGAGATGTGAGGTGTCAGATTACATTGAGAGGGTGTTGGACCGTATTTCGTTGGAAGATCGGGACTTAGTAAGAGGTGCATTAAGAAACATAATAATCGAAAGCCTGAACATTTTTTAAGTCCCAAAATTGAGCTTTGTTCGAAAATCCTGAAGGCTATCCAAATGCAACCTATCTTCTTATGCCTTTGCAATATGCTGGCCTTCTAGTGCATTAATTTGGGTTGAACAATAAATGGCATGATCAAGCCAAAATTAATATGGAAAAACTGCAAATGTTTGTTCTCTTTTTTGGTTTGTTCTTAGTTTGTTTGCAAATCGAATACAAATTTTGGACTAGGTTTGGTGTACATGTTTATGTGCAACTATTATTTGCACTGTCACATGATGTGAATTTTGCACCTTTAGCCAAATTTGCTTTTATTGGCAAAAAACTGATGCAAAATTTGCACCACCTTCCTACTTTTATGTCTTTTCATATAAATCTCATTTTTTTTTTCAGGGTAAGCCTCTCATATAAATCAGGGGCTACATAATTTTACTTTTTATTTTACTCCTGTCAAACAGAACCTTTTTCTTTTGCTTGCTTTTATTACTATTCATATAAAGTGAGAGTATGCCATCTTGTTTCCAGTTTTATTCACAAAACAAAACTAAATCAAACCTCAGCAAATATAAATCAGTATTTACACTGAACCATTTACGCTACTGTGCATTTACACCAATTCAAATTTCATTACAAAGTGGTGTGAATGCATGGGAGTGCAAATGGTATTGAGTTTTACATTATTTTCTCTATAGGAAGAGTAAATTGGGAATAAAATGAAAGAAAGGAAAGAGGAAGGTTGTCTGTTTGGGAGGAGTATAATGGTAAGTGAACAATGTAGTCCCAACTTTATAGAAGAGAATATGAAGGTAGGAGGAAGGTGTAAATTTTGCATTAGTTGGTATAAATTTGCATTGTCAGTGAATACAAAGTAAAGAGGAAAGCTGTTTGTTCAGGAAGAGTAAAAAATTATGTGGTTCCCCACTTTATAGGAAGATGGTGTAAACTTTGCATCAATTGATATTAAATTTGCACTGCCAATAAGTACAAATGGGAGATTGCAAATTTTCTATTAAGTATGAATGCAAATCATTGTCAAACAAAGACATGCATATCTGAGCTGAATACAAATCTTGCATCCTGTTCGGATTTGAACTACAAACAGAGCTCAAACTCAAAAGAAGCCTCTAGCATTGTAAGGTCTTGTGAACGACGAAGGATTTAGAGATGCATTTATTCTTTTTGTTTCCCATGGTTGTGAGGAAAGGCAGCAAGGTTGAACAGCGATCAAAGGGGGTTGTAGACTTTTCAAGATATTAGGAGTTGCGGTCTTACAGATATGGTACAAACAACAGTTTCACTAACAGAGTCATTTCTGCAAGAAGAGTTCGATCTCTGATTAGCTTAGGTCTATGGCTTGCCAATACACAAGATGGTTATTGATGAAGGGAAATTTGGCCCAACCTCGCCATCACTCGACGCGTGGCAAAAGCGAACAGCTCGGGGCAACAGAGCGCTCAAAACACCAAAAGAAAAAGGAGCACGAGCTCCCTACTAGGAGCCCGAGCTCCCTACTAAGAACCCGAGCTCCCTGCTAGGAGCCCGAGCTCGCTACTAAGGACCCGAGCTCCCTACAAGGAGCCCAAGCTCTCTCCTAGG